CTCTACATTCTCAAAATAGTATCTATCAGAAGTGTTTTGCTTGTGTTGGGTCCGACTTGGCCCGGGCGATCAAAATCAATTTTTAAACATAAAGACGTATCTTCAAATGTGTTTACATCTATAGGTTAGTGTTATATCTACCTATATACCACTTTATAATGTCACGGTACATCGTATTTAAAGAAAACAAGGTGCTCAAAGTGATGCCCTTTTCCCTCTACATTCTCAACATAGTCTCTATCAGAAGTGTTTTGCTTGTGTTGGGTCCGACTTGGCCCGGGCGATCAAAATCAATTTTTAAACATAAAGACGTATCTTCAAATGTGTTTACATCTATAGGTTAGTGTTATATCTGCCTATATACCACTTTATAATGTCACGGTACATCGTATTTAAAGAAAACAAGGTGCTCAAAGTGATGCCCTTTTCCCTCTACATTCTCAACATAGTCTCTATCTGAAGTGTTTTGCTTGTGTTGGGTCCGACTTGGCCCGGGCGATCAAAATCAATTTTTAAACATAAAGACGTATCTTCAAATGTGTTTACATCTATAGGTTAGTGTTATATCTACCTATATACCACTTTATAATGTCACGGTACATCGTATTTAAAGAAAACAAGGTGCTCAAAGTGAAGTATTTTTACTGTATTTTCTTAAGAAAATCTATGTCAGATATATGTGTTCGGTCCGCCCGGGCCAAGTCGGACCGAACACTTCTGACATAGATTTTCTTAAGAAAATACAGTAAAAATACTTCACTTTGAGCACCTTGTTTTCTTTAAATACGATGTACCGTGACATTATAAAGTGGTATATAGGTAGATATAACACTAATCTATAGATGTAAACACATTTGAAGATACATATGTGTGTTTAAAGTTGATTTTGACCGCCCGGGCCAAGTCGGACCCAACACAAGCAAAACACTTCTGATAGAGAGAATGTAGAGGGAAAAGGGCTTCACTTTTGAGCACCGTGTTTGCTACTGCAATATGAGACACTAATGTGTTATATAGGTAGATATGATATTATAATTAGTCTATAGATGTAAAGTATGTGTTGTATTTTTAGAAGCGCTTTGACAGTTATTAACACGTGTCGTGTCAGTCCTATGACATTCGCGAATATCCACTTGCAGAAAACATCCTGTGTTGGTTTAACATCAATTAGTAAAAGTTAATTAGGGATGCCAAACACGTTAATTAATGAAAGAAGAGTAGTCAAAACACTGTCATTTCGAATTCCTGCCCAGGACATCACACCCCTGCACGCTAAGGTCGGTGAGAAACCTTCTCATCAAAGTAAAGACACAGTCAAGCCACTGACTTTTCGGTATGAACTCTCGGTATGTAGCTATAATTATCAGTTAATTACATTGCTGAAGATACATTTTTATTCAAACTCAATTAAATGAGCAAAACTATCCGTTTCTGGACATTTGAGATCTGCCTAGATATGCACGTTTCGTTTTATTATTCTGCAATCCATTTTAGTATTACCCGCTGGCCCGGCCCGGCCCGACTTTTCTTGGCCCGACTTTTAGGCAATCCCATTCGTGACCAAATCATGTTATTCTGGGACAAGCAGGTTACGGAAAGGGGCGAGTGGTGACGAATGGCGAGTACTCAGTGCGTGTTCTGATGCGAGGTGAGTCAGCTAGCAGCTGCACATTACAACGGCTGCAGAGAAAAGCTTGCTTAACAATAACTTAACAATTAATGCTCTAAATAAACAAGACAGGATTTTAAAAAATCACAGGCTTAGATTACCTCAATCTCATAAAAATCAGATTTTCGCTAACTATAACCGACCAATGAAATGACAAACATAAAGTTGCCATTAGCCACTTAAAAAGCTACTTTCTTGAGCTTTGCGGCACTAGTTTCAAACTGGCGACTTCCATTCCAGACTATGCTTTCAAAAGCATTTTCAATCAGTCAACAGTAGTTTTGTGTTAAGTTTTATAGGTGGCATGATTAGAAAACATTTTCCGCTACAACGTGTTTGTATCGTTATCTCAGGATACAGGAACAGGAACGTTGATACAGGTCGTCTCCCATTTGTCAGACAGCTTAAAACAACAACTTTTATGGTTGAGCGAACACCTGGGCCCACTTGCACAAAGCGATCTTAGCGCTAAGACTATCGTAAGCCTATGTTAAATAATGGGGGTTAAGATCATCTTAGCGCTAAGATCGCTTTGTGCAAGTGGTGACTAGTCTTGTCACCAACAACTGTCTGACAACTGGTACAAAAGAAAACAAAATCAGATTGTTGTTGGTTCTGGGGATTTGAATATCATGATGGTTCCACATTGATATCCGGAATCTGGCATCGTCGCCAAGTTGACTACCATGTAATCGTTGAGCTGCACAGCTCGAGGTTCACGCCAGGGGTGGAGTTCATGGGTTCAAGACACAAGTCTTGGACCATGCCTGGTGGGAGAAGGGCCAAACCAGCTGCTTTCCGGATCCACTTCTTCAATTGCGGGTCTTCTCGGCATAGAACCGCCAATCCTAGGTCTTGGGTCTTTCTCCAGATTGAATGAAGTGGAAGTAGCATCCCTTTAACTGAGGGAATTCTGTCTAAACGGCTCGAATGGCAGCAAGTTCAAAGTTTGTCTGGATCTTTTGAGGAGTCAAGGGTCGATGTAGTCTTTGTTGAACTTCAGCTTTCAGTCTGCTGAACAGCCTTGTGTAGGTTGTGGCATGGCGATCAGGAAGCAGGACGAAGACGAAGTGGGTAGGTGACAGATCCACTTCTAGCATATAGAATGTAGACTGACCCCACAGCAAGGTGTGTGTGTGTGTGTGTGTGGGGGGGGGGGGGGGGGGGGGGGGGAGGGGGGGGGGGATTTGAAGGTACCATTCATGTAAATGACGTCTGCAGCTTGCAGTGCTTCCAGCTATTCAAGGTTGGGGAAGGCCAGGATCTAGTGATCTCCATCACTGAATAAGAGAAAGGCTCTGTCATCAGTGGTCTTCGTCCACTCACCATCAAGATCCACGTCAGCTCTGGTCTGCGGGAGGACGGGACTAGTCTTAAAGCGATGTCTTTAGAGGGAACTGCTCATGCTGGGGAATGATGGTAGATACGGAATCTTATCTTCGTCTCGGGTGGCTAACTCCTCATAGAGTGACTGCATATGGGTTGTTTCGTCTCTGGTCCGTTTTCTCAGGCTGGTTACAAACCTGAACTTCTCGGGCTGTTCTGGAGGATGACTGTGGTCCGAAGTCGTCCTGACGTAATCACCAACAGTACCAGTACCAGACTTCAGCACACATCGCCAGTGTGCACAACTAAGTTTCCTTTATCCGACAAACTCGTTAATCCGACATAATCAGTTGCAACCAACCATGTCGGATTAACGGGACTTGACAGTATCACATATATACCACATGCTATTTATAACACAACGGGACTCCGGTATTATACAGTATGACTGAACGCGTGTAACTGTATCTTGGGTATATTTTTAGATGCAAGACATTAATCTGTGTAAAATAAGAAATATTCCTGAGGGATTCTTTGACCGACGTACTTGAAGTCATACGCGCATTCCGATTGGTCTGTGGTTTTTTCGATAGCAGGGCGAGTCTTCTTGCAGGTTACGGGAAGGGGCGACTCGTGACGAATGGTTAATATTTGTCATTTTCTAAGCCTTTAAAGGTGAGGTGGACAGTTCACACGTCACCACTGGATCTGATTTCACACATGGGTACAATGTGTTAAGCATATTTCCAGTGTCCCCTGCCGTGATATTGCTGGAATATTGCTGGAAGCGGCGTAAAACCATACTCACTCACTTATTCGAAAACAATAATGGTTTTATTTCGCACCATGTGTGACCATAATAGTTTCGATTGTTACACGCCCTCAATACATACGATGCGGGTTCCACCACTCTGGCGTCAAATGTTTTCTGATGAACTTCTCAATCATTTTTTGAGTGTCATAAACGAAAAATTCCGTTGATTAAGGTTTAGGTGTATCCTGTGTTTCATACGCTCACTAAATGTTCGGTCATCGGTAAATGGAAGATTACCATTTTGACAAATAATAACATCTATTTTAATGATTTAATAATATGTGCTCGTTAGTCTGCAACAATCACGACAATGACGCAATAATAATAATAGTAATAGCAATAATAATAATATTTTTTTATAGTGTGATGTTCGGTACACGTGATATATCGGAAAGCAGACGTGTGCGTCGATTATGGTGGTTAACTAACGATTACGCCACCAACGCAAGAGTAACATCTCACCCACAGAGGAACTCTTTTCGTAATCAAGAGCGTGGTCACAGCACGCCGCGTAGGTCTGTACAGCACGATGTATTTTATTCATAAATCAGTCGATCCTCCATAAATCACACTTTTGCTATTCATTTCACATATGGAGTGAGTTATTGTTGGAGTAAGGCTGTGAGTATGGGGGTAGAGGGTGGGGTAGTGGTGTTGATTACGAACCTGGAGCGGCCTAACTTGAAAACTTTTCTAAATGGAGACATAAACATTTCGCGAAAATGTAATTTAGAAATACTCCATCATGCACATGAAACCGTAAAAAAAACTCTAAAAAGTTTATATTGAAACAATTAGGCAACGAATTATATATTGTATACCATGGCAATTGTATTTTTGTTTGTTTGTTGTTTAACTCCAAACATAGAGATTCTAGCTATACGACGGCGGTTTGTAAATGATGGAGTCTGGACCATACATTCAAGAGAATTTGTGAGACACAGAGGCGAGCAAATGAATATGTGAGTGAGGGAGTGTGAATGAGTGAGGGGGAGCGTGAGATAGTGTATGAGTGTGTGTTTGTGTGTGTGTGTGTGTGGGGGGGGGGGGGGGGTGATGACGGAGTAGGTGAGATAATGTATGAGTGTCGGTTTTTATTCCAATGTAAAACACTATTTATAGTCATATTGCAATGGTCCCACAAGGTCACAATCCATGCATATCCGTCACAACCAAAGACAAAACCGCAAATATAGAAAATAAATTTATTGTAATACCCGAACAATTTAATAAACAACTAAAATCACCTGCTACTCGGGGAACAGATTTTTCCCTTGACCTCCAACAACATTTGATTAACAGTTTTAGGGGAAATATAAGTGAAGTAGTTCTCCTTCTCATTCTGGCCATCATAGTTCTGCCATGTTTGATACGGAAGCCCTCGCCATGACGCCATTGCCCGGAAATGCCGATTTGCCTGGGTCCAGTATATCGGGTAAAACTCTAGAACACCGGCATGTTTGGGAAGGAAGAGGGTATGTGACATGCCAGCACCGTGCATGCCCAACAGAATATCAGTATTTGCAATAAGCTCCAGTTGTTGTTTCATGGGGAGTATATCAAGTTGCACACCCGTGACGTTGTGGCCTGGGAGGATGTTATGCAAGTTGGCAATGATCTCATCTTCGTTTTTAATTTTCCTTTTAACTAAACCTTTTGGATTTCGCGGATGGGCAACATAATCCCTTCTCCAAATAAACATGACGTTAAGTTTATCGCAGTTTAACTGCTTACTGGTCTTGACATTGTGTCGAGAAAGGAAGAATTCTCGAAACAGTTCCAGATACGGCACAAATGGTCTGTAATGAAAGTTCAGGGGGCTGTTGTAACCCATAACACTCCACACCATATCATCAAACTGCGTGGGTGCCTCTAGAAGCCCCACCCTCTTAGTCTCCCCAAACAGCACATTCCACGTTTCGTCAAGGCCGCCTTGAGGGTGGGCATCTACCCAGAGCACTGTAATATTATCCGGGTCCTGATCAAACACCAACATCATCAAGAAAGCGTTATAATAATCCGTCATTGTGTGATACAGATTGACATATTCATATCTCATCACGGCTAAAGTCATTCCTTTCACTCGCTTTGTCTCTATTTTGTCTTTTTTACAGCTCACGACATTGTTCCATTTCAGAAGGTGGTCTTTGCCACCGAATCCTAAACCTGGTGTCGTGTCGCAGTTTAAGCTGAAATATCCTTTCTTCAGGTTCAGATACTCCTCCTCTTCTCGTTGGTTAAGCACAGAGGAGATAGCTTCTCCCCCTTTTCTGCCAACGCCTAACGAAGGGTCAATGATCACATTATGCAATCGGGCAAACTGATTGCCGTAATTAACAAACTGACCCTGGCTCTCTACCTTAGCAGCTTTCAACCAGCCGCAAACCGGATCCTGATTTATAATCATTGTCTGATTCATGAACGATACTTTATGTTTAATATCACATCCTCTCTGACCTTCCGCTTGCGCCATCTTTATTATTCCCGATTGCAGCGCCACCCTGACTTGCGTGACAACGTTGCCAACCTTGCCGACAGTGTGCCCGTCAGACAGGAAATCCTGCAGCGGCACTGTCCCATACGACTTCCATGCAAATAGCAATGCCCCCAACAGTAGCACGTAAAACAAGACAATGAACTTGAACAGTTTCCGATATGGGACTCGGAGGAAACTGGCCATGGTAGTGATGATGATGTTGTGGAAGAAGATGTGGAGATTAGAGTAGTTGCAGATTCATATTCTCAGACCAAAGGTCTCTCTCCGCCGGACGACATACGGCCGACTCCAGGATTCAGCGTCCGGCCACCTGTCTGAAAAGAGAAAAGAGAGTGTCAAGATGATGTAGTGATAAAGACATACCAGTCACAAGTTGAAGGTGTGGATCTACGGACAGAATATGTAGAGGGTGACCTGACAAAGTGAGTGAGCGAGTGAGTGAGTGAGTTGGGTTTAACGCCGCTTTTAACAGTATTCTAGTTATATCACGGCGTGTCAGCTTATTGTGGGAGGAAAGCCCGAAGTGATGCAGGTCTCTGACGTTTACCACTTCGGTGAAACCCATGAGCACGGGTATGGTGCTGACAAACCTAGAAACATAATCGGGGCGAACCGGGATTCGAACCCACAATCATAGGTTTCTGACGTGCCCAAGGGACGCAACTCTGCACAGCGAATCGCGGCGCCTTAGAAGACTGGGCCACCCGTGCCCCCTCTGACAAAGTGAAAATAATCAATTGTAATGAGTGTTCTTCATTTCCCCCAATGGTGTAGAGACGGTGGGGTAGCATAGTGGTAAAAGCGTTTGCTCGTCACGCCGAAGACCCGGGTTCTATTCCCCACGTGTGTACAATGAGTGAAGCCCATTTCTGGTGTCCCCCGCGGGGATATTGCTGGAATATTGCTCAAAGCAGCGTAAAAAACTATACTCACTCCAATAGCGCGGGAAAGTACAATTATGATAATAATGTTAACACAATACATTACATGTATGTACATAAAATATTAGGATCATACAGATAAGTTGGATTGGATTATTTACATTGTTGATATTCTTTCACAGGTAAAAGCGTAGATGTTAGGTTCCATCAACTTATTTCTTTTTATGAATTCGGCCCACTGTTCAAGGTCCATATATAGTCTAAGACCCAGCATTAGAAATTGGCACTGGTCCTGTGGCCCTTACCAAACTGCCCTATAGTTAAGGTATCATAAGGACTAGTAGAAATTTGTCCTTTTTAAGGGGGTTTCTATATGTTATCATTATAAGGACTCATCTAAGACCTGTGTGATATCACCAAGGAGGGCGATAACCCTGGTGTGTGGGTGATATCTCTGGTGTCATATCACTCGATAAAAATTCAATTCTCGATATATTATTATTATTATTATTATTATATATATATATATATATATATATATATATATATATATATATATATATATCTTATTATTAAAAAGAGATACTGTTAGTGTTAACTACAGTATCATGTAACAAATATTCTATACCAACAAACTCGCAGACGAGGCCGTGAAAAGCTGGTGTCCTGGCAGGACTCCCCAATATTTGTCTAAGATTTAAACATTATCAAAATTCTGCAAATGCATATTTCACATGTCGTTATTGTATTTGCTTGAACAGATGGACAATAGACACTTGTTATACAGAATATAGATCTACCATGTGACATGTCTTGAATAATGAATCTGGACCTCGCGTTAGCCTACGGAAGCTCCATGCGTTTTGTCCGAAGATTACACCTTTTCAATGACCAGTATGAGTATAAATGTATCAAAACAGATTTTTAAAGATCAGCGTATTGATCACACGTACATTTACTGAAGTGTCTTGCGTATTGTTGCCTGAAAGAAATATTCAAGTTTCGCATCGAGCTCTTGTGAAATAACAACGATGCGAGAGTAGTTCCCCTTGGTGTTTTCAAAAAGCAGTATTTGGAAAGCGAAATGAAAAATGTGTAACGAAAATGGACTACATAGTAAATTAAATTATGTTCGAGGAAATCATAACTGGGGAGTACGTGTTTATTTGTCATTTGGATTAAGATGTGAATGTTTTCAGGTGGAAAATGTCTATAAAATATCGTTCTCCACAGAACAATTCGTCCAAAAATTAAACTTCGAAAATAAAACGTCCCAGTGTAGACCCTACCAAAGATCACGTGGTTTGGGAGCCACATTGATTATTAGTTTAATGCAATTTCCTACCAAACGCCTTTAAACTGTTCATCAGTGCCATTTGGGTTGGAACCCAATAACCTGGGCAATGTGCTTTCCCATATTAAAATGAAATTCTGGTGAATAATACACTTGCAGCTCGGTGTTCCTGAATGAATGAATTGATTTGTCACATATGGTGTACACGTAGACATACGGGCAAACAGTAAACACGGACCGTGCAAGGCAAGTTTTACAAAGAATTATATAAGAATTTAACAATTATGTGTCATTACATGCATTATTTTATTTATTTTGAAAACAAAAACATCCCATCGCGTGTCGCTCTCTTCTGTTACAAGCAGAGCTCAAGTAAACAGTAGTATCGACATTCTGCCACCTGTGTTATCCGATCAATCAAAGCTGGCCATTCCAGGAGCCTTTGTTTCACTGCTAACATTGATTTGTAAAGCAAAAGGGATCAATGTGTGAGAGAATATTCAAGGACAAAGTTATCACTCATCGATAAGTAAGGACCCCACTGTTCCGTGCCAAGGAGAGGCCACGTGTGCAGGTTCGACCGGCTAGGATTTTGTATGGAATCTGGATATTTGTTCAATTTTATATACTTTCAACGGTTTTCTTTTTGGTGGCAAACAAATGTTAATTTTTCCGTAGTCTATAGCATTATTATTATTATTATTATTATTATTATTATTATTATTAACCATTTTTCTGGGGCAAGTTTTGGGGCGATCGGGTAGCCTACTGGTTAAAGCGTTCACTCGTCACACCGGGTTCTATTCCCGACATGGGTACAATGTGTGAAGCCCATTTCTGGTGTCCCACGCCGTGACTTTGCTGGAATATTGTTAAAAGCGGCGTAAAACTAAACTCACTCACTCACTCTGGGGCAATTACTTTTTTTTTTGCCCGATGAAAACAGCTCCCCTCCCTCCCGCAACTCTAGAATATCAAGTGGTCGGCCCTTAATATTGTAACACGCGTTTAGTGATATTAATATAATAAGACGCAGTCACAATACCTGACAATAATTAATAAATGTTCTGGTAAATATTAAACTGACATATCGAACCGACAGTTTACCGACGAGTGCAACCAGCACCATCTGGTGGTTACAAGAACGGACGCACCTGGTATCTACAGAAGAATACAAAGAACGGTAGAGCATGTGTTGAGTAACATTTCCCAAAGCTTTCTTCTTTCCGCACAGTCCACAATTTAATTCCTCCCGGCTATGATAAATTGTGTTTCTTCTCTGGTCTTCGTGGAAGATTCAAAACACTTCCATCGATCTCCTCAATAATTGACGACCGGAAATTGAAACCTTTTCAAGCGCGTTAGTCTCCACGTCTGTGCAAGTATGTACAACCCACCCCACGTTTTTCAGGGTGCGGATATAGAATTACATCATCAGTACGGGCAGTCGCGTGTTGTCTTTTCAACTTGCCAATTTAATTCAGGTGTACATGTCAAGGATGTGTTTCGATTTATTTTGTTTTTAAATGCATTCTCGAGGGATGGACCTGTTATTTCAAATGATTGGCGAACGGAAGGTGATAGTTACTATTGGACAATTATACACAGCGTGAAGATTAATTACATGATTAATTAATTACTTTTTCTGTTTGAAATTATATTGTCAAATCCGTTACTTGTTTTGGAACCGCTGGTGTCCATGGATCCTACATTAATTTTAGAATTGCGAAAAATTAAACATTCATACTGAAACTTTGTAGAACGGCGGAACTCCACGTATGGTAGAAACAGTAAAAAACGGTAAAATGTGTAGAACGGCGGGTTACATGCAAACATTGAAACGAATGAAAAACGTGGATTCATCTTTTCACATATGGCGGAGAGGAAGTGTCTCCTAGTGGATAGAACACTGGCTGGTCACTCCGAGGACCCGGGTTCGATTCCCCCACATGATTGAGTAAAGTGTGTGAGCCCATTCTCGTGTCACGTAATGGCGGATCTATCACTACAAGAGGCGTGAAAACCCACTTAATCTCACTCAACTCCACACAGCTCATATCTGTAGATATCTCGGCATAACGTCCGCTTGATTCGGGGGCCACAATGGGACATTACTGAGATTATTGCATCACTGTGACGTAACGTCGACGTCAGGCTACCCTGGCCCTTGTAGGAAGATAGCATTGTGATAATGGCCATAGTAGAAATAGTGGTTGTTTTTTGGCATTCTCAAAAACTTTCTAACGTTCACATTCAACCGGTGTGAGTGAGTACATGTTCAAAAATTCATACGTTGCATGTTTTGGTTTTGCATAATTATTATTAGGTCTTTGGAAGGCATTTAAAAGTGATACACATAAGGAAGAGAGTATATGGATTATTAAGAGGAACACAACGTTTCGGAGTATATGCTTACTTCTTCATCGGGTGAATGAATGCCATGAGGCAGAGCATATACTAGTATATATGGACATGTAAGGACAACAAAAGGTGGAAAATAACAAAGGGTACAAGGGTGTGGGGGGGGGGGGGGGGGGGGTTAATATATCTGAAATACTGATCCAAGTGGTGTTAAACCAAACTTACTCGCTAATATGTTTTATGTCAATCTGGTCGCAAAATGATCCTGTGTAGTGAACAATCTTACCTACACACATGTGTGCACCTGCCTTTCTCGAAGTCCTCAACTTGTCAACCACCTACAGAACAGCGCCGATGGATCTCAGCCGGATTGCATTCAATAGCCCGGAGCCGATCACTGAGAGAAGCTGCCTTCTATACAGTGCGACAGCCTGTGCATTACTAAGTACCAGCCTGAGAGCCGTTTTGCACGGCTTTGCGATGAAGTAACGCATTGTATTAGAATTAACGGATATAATAGAATTTGACACCACGATATATCAGTGAGAATACAATCTCCATATGGAAAGGTACATATGCCCTATCTGTGGGTGTGTGTATTACGCCTTTACGGGATAGAATTTGCAAATTATGTAAGAATAACGTTAATTGCTGACTCTCCTGCTGGCCCTAAAGTGACTGCTTTCATGGACTACGTGACAACCAGTTGGGTTCAAGGACAGGCCTTCATCCCAGAGATTTGGAATCACTTCGAAAACCAAGGCCACCGTACCAACAA